CTCTGTCTTTTTGTCGCTATTTGTTGAACTTCTGTTTTTCAGTCATTTTCAATGTCTGATCAAAAGTAAGTGGCCGATAAGATTTTTTCCTTACAGTGCGTCATCAGGAATGGGTACAACCAATCAAAAAATCTTTCTGTTGTCCCTTCACTGCTACTGGTTGTTAAGACAATGCTGTTTCAATAGTATTCCAATCTTCCTTATGCTCTAAGGCGTATGCTTATAGTCTTAGCCCGAGTGTGTGTTGGGAAGAGTGAAATGAGCCACACTGGTTTTTTTATCGACACGCCCTCCACCTATCGTACATGCACCTGTGTTCCCTTGTTTCAAACAACAATACATCTGGCATATTTTGCCTTTGCAGCTGGGAGCTGTAGACCCACGGGGGATAAGGAAAATGGGGAATAAGGCTATGGGTTTGCGTCACCACACCGATTACGGTGAGGACGATTAAATGACAACTGAATGAGTGAAGGGACGACCCAACACATATCTTGGTTGTTGTGAAACAAATATTTAGACAAACCGTACAGGTAAAAGGCGAATGGAAATTAATTAGGCAGATCGACGTATGTTGCTACGTTTTGTGTTCGATCCGAATCGGTTACGCTTACGTTCTTACGGGTATTAGTTTTGCTAGACACCACCCTACTAATACCCATTAACTGACAATGATTGAAGGTTTTTTGCTGACAGAAAGCCTAGAGAGTGATGTATTAACTAGCGGAACTCGAAGTAAGTACCCAGACGTTGAGAGGAAACAGTCCATTCGTGGTTAATTTCACTCGAAAATCTGAGATAAAAACATAGGGCTTACTGTGCGGATGTTTTTCATAGTGATAGCTTCTTTATTGTTAAAACGCAGGAACACAGCTGTCTCACCGGAAAAAGGCAGCTGGCCCAAATGGAAGTAAAGCCGTTTGCTCGCTTTCGCACTTTTTTTGACGATGCGAAACGTGTCTAGATGGAAAGGAATGTGCACAATCTTGTGGTTATTTTGCCGTTTTTTTTGTATACCGTCCCAAAAGGATGTGTGCATGTTGCTTATTCATGCGATTAACAGAAATAATTAATGTAATTGGCGATGGTTTGATGGTCTGATAACGACACCATTTAGATAATTAAACTGAGTTCTTACATCCAGAGTTTGCTTATCAACTGCGTCCAAGAATCTCAGCTACAGGCTTAACTGGATTTAGTGCAATCAACTAGAAACTTGCTTCACGGATGCAAGAATACTCGAACTCTGTTTAGTCAGGAAAGTCAAACACAACAGACGTTTATTGAGATTGTTAGATGTTGCAACCATTATACATTAGGAACGGTTTGAATCTCTGAGGTCGCTCTAAACCAGTAGTGATGTCAACTAGTTGATAAAACACAGTCTTCAGCCTAGCACTTGGTCAACACGACCAAATGTGGGTTTACTGGCCATCACCGACAAAGCAACGAATACATGTTATTGTAAATATGTACAAGAATGCTTTACCGGTCGAGAATTCGGTCGCAAGCACGTATCGTATCAGTGGTGTCTCCTGGGGCTCATTGTTAAAGGAAATAGCAAACTTTTGAATCCAGCGCCAGTTGAGGGCTATGAAGGTTTTGCACAAAAGTAGTGTCAGTGCTCTTCAAATGGTGCCTGTAGTGGCAATTTCGAAGTTAAGGGTGTTAACAGTGAAAGTATGAAGAATCGCAGCAAAATCATTTGGATAAGGACCGGCCTATCGGTCTATAGACCACTCAACTAAAAGAGTAGGGACTGTCTTAATAAAGGAGGGTATCATTCACATGCAGCAAGTGAAGCATACTGCACTGGACCACAATAAACTACGGAAGAGCAGTACCAAGACATGAGGAACAGAGTAGCAAGAACAACATGTCTGATAACTGAAGGTGAAATATTTATGACAGTTACCATCAGTGCACCGAAGGACAAACTTCGATCACTGTCTAGTAAAGGAACGGCTTCAAATCGTTAACATTTTGGTTGTGTCTAAGTGCAAACACAATCTGATCGTCCTTAGTTGGATTGAAGTATGAGGAAGGGCGTTGCGACTAAGAGAATATTCTGTCTAAATTGGCAGAAATCTGCAGCTCGAAACAAAGCTGTCAATAGCGACTTATTCGGGTTTTCGTGTCGCGTTTTTTGAGTCGTCAAATTGCAGAAAGTCTGTGTGAAGTGCGGAAGGAGATGAGGGAACTGCTTCTTATAGCTGAGGACACCAAGTTGGGACTGCACTGAAACAAGTAATCATAATCAGCACTGACATACACGAAATAAGTGTGTTTGGAGGAATCATGAACCAGAGCAAACTACACATGGGTGCAAGTCTAGCAGCCCTCTGTCGACGAAGACAGGCAGTTTTGAGGAATTAAGAAAACAGAATGTTCTGAGGAACAGTAACCTAAAACCAAGGAAGATGTCGAAAGTTCTACTGACCTTAAAGTTGACTAGAATATTTGTAACTTAGGTTGTAAAGATGACGACTGATTTATCCACTAACCTGAATGTTTTTGTTATAAACTCCATATCAGCGATTGGCGTGATGTAGTTCGTAGATGGACATGTGTTGTCATGATATCACTTCGTCTATTCACGAGACATATGCAACCAAGTCGCTCAAATCAGCGCCGGATCAACGCTCATTTACGAACCTCATTTTTAGCCTCTATTTATTTCGTCCTATGTAGCGCTGTGTGGTACGCCAGTGAAGCACCAGTGTTGAACACTGGTGTGGATGATGGTGATGAATATCGCTGCAATATAAGTGCTCACACTTATTGGCGGGAAACGCACCGTTGCACTGGTACCGTGACCTTTTTTGGAGCAGCTGGGTGGTTTGGTGAACCACTGTCACCCATGGAAGCTTTCCATTGTTTTCTGATTCAGATAGAGTTGAACAATTATCAGATGTTTTTGTCGGTTGACCGCAAGGTGAAATCGGCGTGGAGTGTGCTCAACCTAGAAATCCAAACCTTAGTGAGGATAGAATAATCCGTCGTCACTGTTTTATCCCCATGTTCCTTTTTTACGCCAAGGAGTTCATTGATCACATGCATTATGGGACCGTTTGGGCTGATAAATTTGGTCTCCAAGGTACACCACAAATCGTAGCAGAACTCAACGTAGTTTGAAGGTGCGCTGAAATGTGTGTTAGAACCACCTGAAGACGGTTCGATTCGAGCAGGTCTATCTTCCTTTTTCAATAGTAAACCTAATTTGTATCACGAGCCGAGTGTTGCCTTTGGAACATACCCTGGAAAGCATCCCAATAATACGATTTTTTGGACGTCAATGTGTGTATCACAGGTCTGCAGACTTACCTTATTGGGCCTTTGGCTAGTAGTGCACAGTGTTTGATAAAGCAGAATTCTGACTAGCTGAGAACAACGCAAACTGAGAAGAAGTGGCAGACTAATATTCTTGGTGAACTTCCTGAAGCTTGCACAGTAGGGGAGATATGCTTAACCGTTACGAGAAAGGTTATTGAGCTATTCTGATTCGTAAACAATAACGAGAAAAGTTTTCAAGGGAAAACCGAAGCTCAGTTTCCAACTTGAGCACCAGCAGAGACTTAAGAAGATGAATATACTATCTGATACATCTCTAATATGTTCCAAAAGCGAAGACACCTTGACCAGAGGAAGATCACCCATTACTCAACTGTTTAACCAGGATTCTCGCTTACCCGGAAAATTTTTTCTGGAAGATGGCTCCGGTCACAAATTTTTCTCCTATTTATCAATAAAATATAGAAGAATGGAATTTTCTGCAGTATAACCTACCAACCTGTAGGATGCACACGACTTCTGCCGTAGTAGTTCAGCTTGAAAAGATTTTATCAGTTGGATATGAGTATCTCGCCAATTGGCGGCGCTCCAGTTGACGGCGTTGAAGTAATTCCCTGGAGTGGTGTGGTTTCATCATCACCATCATCATCACCATCATCATCATCATCATCATCATCATCATCATCATCATCACCATCATCATCATCATCATCATCATCATCATCATCATCATCATTATCATCATCATCAGCAGCAGCAAGTGTTATGAGGTGCTTACACTTTCAAGTGCTCAATCAGACAATCTGAAAAGAAAGTGACAGAGCGAACGCCACTGACCATACATTAACATCAGAATGAACAACAAATCACCAGTGAGTAATGTAGAAAGCAAACAGGCAAGACCTAGCTAAAACGTCCCAGTTTATGGTGGATGACTTTTAAGGCAGCGGCATTGTTCGTTTTGTCCAGCGAGCTAAAGCCTTTTCCGTAGGGATTTTGGTCATGGTGGGTCAGCCTAATCGGAAAAAGCTTAATGCAATAATTTCTAAGATGAGTAATGTTTAAAAAATACAGTGACTTAATTGGAGTGAAAAGTCGAAAATGTTAAAACGGTGGCCACAAAGATAAATTAGAACGCACAAAAAGGAGTGATTAGCCCTCGACTTAGTCGATTTAGTTGACAGGATTCGCGGTGGTAAGGGAAATATCTGCCTACTACTTAACTGTACCCTTCCATCTGGGGTAGAACCGTTAATTTCACCAGTGAGTGCAGCTTCAACTTACTAGATCTAAGAACTGTGAAGCCGGTGTCTGCACAGATCACGAATAAGACTTTGCTTTGACCTTTATCGAAAAAGTCTTGCATGGCTTCCAGTTGTTGACTGTCCAAAAGCCAGTCGCATATGGTTGGCGCGTCGAATTGAAAGTACCGTTCCAATTGGTTGATCAAATACATGTGCCGATCATCAATCAGTGCCCGACGAAGATCCCGATTTTCTTTGATTCTGGCCTATGGAGATGTGAAACGAAGGAGAGACTAACTAAGCAACTCCTGAGCCATTAACCGATTAGGCCATAGCATGTAGAAATATCAGTGTTGAACTCGTGTTTCTTTTCAGCGAAGTACACTCATTTGCAACCCGATTTGATTTTTCGAGAGACTACTGGAACCCACACTCATTTGCAACCCGATTTGATTTTTCGAGAGACTCACTGGAACCCAGCTAACTCTCTCGTTTGTGATGTTCTCAGGCAACTGAATGTGCTGCACCAGGCCGTCTCATATTTCAGTCGCTACGATATTCGAGATATCGCGATACATGTATACTTGTGATGCACTACTCACCTGGAACCCAGCTGAGTCCCCCGTTTGTGTTCCTTTTTGTTCATGAGTGAATTGACCCTGGTACGTACAATAATGATAGGCTATTATGGCGAAATCGACGGCGGGTTGTTAGCACATTCTTGCCTTTTGATCTGTGGGTGTTAAGGCTCGGCACAAGTCACTGAAAGGTCAGACGCGGAATGGTACTGCGTTGAAGTCAAAGAACGTTTAGTAAACAGTCGGATGCAGTAAGATCACTTGCGTGATACCTCTGTTCACTTTGAAATTTCGGTTTCAGCACTGCAAATTTGCCTTTTGCGGGTTCGTGAGCGGTGAATACCAGTAGGTTTATACAAATTGGTGAGTAACGCACCACATGTTAAATGGGCCTTACATCTGAGAAGCAATCTATCCAGGGTAAAGTGAGTGCAGTGATTGAAGCTGTATTCCATTCAATTCCGGATTAAGCTCATTGCTGGTCAGACACTTATTTTACAAGCCAACTTCATTAAATTGGTCTAGTATCATGATCATAAAAAACTGAGGGATGTGAAGTAGCTATCCAAGGATTCCGAAAGGAATCTATGGGATAATTGGAACGAATAGTTCGTTATATTTGTCCCGTGCCTTACCGTTAAGAGACGGACAGGGTTAATTGGGAGGGATCATCTAGGGTACTTTTTGGAGTCTAATGACAGTCTGTCACAAGAATGACCAGTCTGACTTGGTTGACAAGCACTGTCACGTAATCAGGCTCAGCTGACTTGTTGAAGACAACCATAGACAGTTTAAAGCAGTTCAGAAAATTGTCTCTTCTCATCCAATAAGTCATGAATTAGTAATCATACACTCGTCAAAAATTGTCAGTCCTGTCTGGAGTATACCTGGATAGACTCTCTGTCTCTTTACTGTTCTGGAATATGAACTGGATTCTTACCTTGATCCTTATCTCCAACGTTTTTATCTGACAGTTTTGAACACCAAAAAGGATATGATTTCGATAGTCTGATGAGTCGATGATACGCAGCTGATCTCTAGTGAGAAAAACTCTGGTGAGAGACTCAGCTGCAACCAAATAAATCTCCTGTGTATGCTCTTCGCCTTCAACTGGATTTACTTCAGAGTGTCGCTTCATGTTTCAGTTGATACGATATTCGAAATATCGAGGTGTCGATATTTTCTTGAAAAAGCTCACCACTCATAAGATTGTCTAGATTATTAGCTAGCTGATCAGACGATATACAGTCCAGCGCACAGGGCTGGACAACGTACCACAAACCGAGGTGTAAGAAAAAATGTAAAGGGCATCGATATATCCTTTGTTCATTTTATCTGTGGCGTGATTTGTCACACGCTTTGCGTACTTCCTGTATGTGAATAGGCGAATAGCCCTCACACAGTTTCCAACCTAAGCTACCGAATCTAATAAGCGAATGCATGTTAAATCCTAATGCTGCTTGTGACTGATCAATACGAAACGGGTCGGATCCATTCCAAACAATGCTGAAATTCGCATGGGTGCCTTGGTGGCATTTCCAGTTAACTCAGATATGCAACTGCATCTGCAAGGTCTCCTGTGTGCGAAAAGTTGAGTATGAATAGCCTAATTTTTTCTCCCTTGATCTAACCAACTCATGAGAATCAACAGTTGTTTTCCTGTTGGTGTTCTAGTCAGGTTGTTACATCAACAGATTGTCAGTCAAAGCTCATACTGAATGCTGAATTGACTGGCAGGTGTGGACTCCCACCTCACTTGTGACTTCATTCTGGAAACTTTCGAATCCCCCAATGTCCACCGTACCATCAACTCAGAATATGATGAGGCCGATTTGACAGAGTCAGAACAAAGTATAAGGAGCGCTGAATAGGATGAGACCAAAAGTTTACTTTGGTATGCTTGACCTTCGAATTTTCGTTCCGAAAGGGATAAATCTTATCTTCAATGTGACTCAGATGGTTGGATGAGTGGAAGTGGGATTTTATATACTGGTTAATTATTATTAAACCCATTCGATTTTCCAGAATGTTGAACAGCTCTCTATCTTACAAATGTCAGATTCGGAGAGTAGATGGATACTTTTCGAGGAAACACTGCTCATATTCTGCTGAACAGTCGGTAACAACCAGCGACCGGTTTCCTCCTTCTTGGGTCGCATCAAGTGTGCGCAGTTCCTGAGTTTCCGTCAACCTTATGTTCCGCTTGAACCCAAGTCGGACACAACTCGCAAAGTACATTCATTTGCAAACTAATTTAATCTTGGGTGGGCTCTTACTGCATCTGAGCTCGCGAATGACAACATAAGCAACTCGAATCCTAATCTGCGAAACAGTTCTTTCGCAGCACAATTAGAAGTCTCGATGTGTGTAAGTAGATAAAGCCTGGCTTTCAGTGTTCCAAGTCATAGGTTGTGAAGTACCAGCACCGCGATTCTGTGAAGGTGGTCACATAGTTGATTAAATCCAAGCTCCGGATTCGTGGAATGAAATGAGCATCAGATGGTAATGGTTTCAAACAAGCAATTCTTGTTTCGCACTACTGATGGATCTGTTACATCGAATATGCTCTCCTATCTCGGTTAACTGACCTTTGTTCGCAAAGTAGCGCGGACTTTGTTTAAATTGTCAATCTTCCGCTCAGATGCAATGTATTCTTTTCAGAAATGAAGTTTGCTGGTGAGAAGCGCAAACCAGGAGCGTATTTACTTAATCACTTTCCCAGCTTGTTATAGAATCCAGTGTGTCCCGTTAACGAACCAAGTTTGCTGCATGCAGCTTTCCACCGAAGTTCAAGTGCATAGAATTAAAAAAGAAAGTCACAAGGGTTTTTAATTCTGAGTTAGAAAGCTGACGACTGGTTTGTACTCGCTTCCACAAATGAGAACAATGTAAACTCCACAGCAAAAAACAACTGGTATCCACTATTGTATAAGATAGGTAGGATAGCACACACTGCTTTGAGAACGACAGAAGCAATCATGGAAAAATAAAATGTTCATCCAAGTAATAAATTTTCGGGTTGGTAGTGTAGTCGTCTAAACGACAGTTCTGGTATATACAGAGGGGCGGGCGTCAACGGAATAATGGGATGATATTTTTTATCCAGAAGCCTAGCAACCGAAGAGAGTGCGTATTAGTTCACAATAATAGCGCCTTGATACATTCGGTCGTTTTGACAGTACACTGATTTTTGTTCCGAAATATGCAAATAAAACTTACTCAAAGTGCATCGCGGTTTGACCGGAAATATTTGTTTTAGCTAGAAAAGCGTTTGAGACACCGCGCACTCAATACTGTCGGCCCTTCAATATACGAATTCTCGAAACCATGATGACAAATTGCCGACAAACTTATCGGGAGTGGTCTCTCTTTTATTGAATGAAATTACTGCATTTCCTAACCAACAATTTGGGATAACTCTTCTAACATTTTGCGCCAAGAAAACCTGGTCTCCACTGTGTTTATTGCTCACGGTAAGAGCGCGGAATGTTTATCCATTAATTGGCGAATTCTAAAAAACTTGACTGCTTTACGAATGCAGCTTAGATTTTTTTAGAAAAGGAGGTAGTCTGACTATAGTAAGCATTGCTGAACTCAGTACTAGCAGCCTTTCATGTTTAATGATTCTTGCTCGCTTTAATCAACGCCGCGATCGACTTGTACTCATAGGAAGCAAACGTAGGCTGCAACTTCGTGTTTTTTCTCTCCACACAAGCTGTTTTGGGGGCGAGAATAATGTTCAACTTATCATCGGGAGATCAACAATATGTCTGATTTGTCATAATTTACTGTGGGGATGGGAACCACGGGGAGGAACAAAACGATATGGGGTGGATATTCTTTGTGCTGAAGTAGATAATGCGAACTTGGGGTTGAGATTCAACAATGGTTTAGAGGTGCTGTGAGGTTGTTGTAGTACTGTTGAGGTACTAAGCGGCCTTTCGGTGTGAGCCGAACGCGGAAACTTTGTAAAACTATTCAGTTGTTTGGCATTTCTTCACGAATACGCGCGATGAAAGCCTACTGAACCATTAGTCGGTTTGCTTTGTACGTGCTCTCTTTTGTGTATTTTGGCCATTCGATCGTCTTTTTCTAACAGTTTATTTGCATCCCATCTGCCTTCCCAACCTACTCAGTCGCAGCAGACGAGACTGAAAGCATTTGCATCCCATCTGCCTTCCCAACCTACGCAGGAGACGAGACTGAAAGTGAAAATCGAGCGGCACACTGTCCATGCCCTAAAGTGGACTCATTATCATAGATGCGAGTTTTAACGTGTGACTAGTCTTTTGATTTGCGGCTTTTGGCTTGCGGCTTAAATAGATTGTTTTCCTATGAGTAACGGGTTGAAAGCCCAACTGGGCCTGGCCAGTTGAACAGACAGTGATCAAATATACAGTTAGCATCACAGTGATAAGAGGGCCTGTTCGTGTGTTTGTAGATGGGTAAAGGGAAACAGTGACTTTTTGCAGACAGCTCTATTAAAATAGTCTAACAATATGAGGAAATAAAGACATTTTGGCCTCGAATGTAGTATTTTTGAGATGAGAAGGAAAATATCAAGGGTTAACTTTTAATTGAAGACTGCATAGTGTTTCATGAGGGAATAGGGAAGTAAATTTATTGCCAATAGTCACGTGTGTTCGCTTGTGGGGTGAATGAAGGCTACAGAAATCGGCTGCGGTAAT